GGTACAAGAGATTTGTAGGTCATCAATGAGACATCAGCATATAGGAAGAAGAATTGTAATTAAAAGAAAAGGAAGACAGCAGGGTGCTCTGTTTTCCTATCACAAGAGCCCTCCTTTGGGCTTGTCTGTGTTGGAAAAAGTGGAAAGGAGGTAATTGAGACCACATATCCACCGCTTCTGCTGTTTTTAGAAAAGGACATGGTGCTTATCAGCTTGTAACCCTTTAGTTGGCTTCTTTCTCCTCTCTACTTATGTGGAAAGAAGTCCAAAGGATGAAGCATCCCTTTCCATTCATTGCTACTTGGAAAAAAAACCATCTCCTGTTGTAATTGCCTGCTGCTCAATCACTGGCTCTTAAAATTATAACTTCCTTTTTATTTTCTTATTGAGTAGTAGTGGCGAGGTGCACGGGAGCATTAGTAATAGATGAATCAGAACACCAAGTATGAAGATGTATAGTAATAATTCAACACTACTTGCTTTTTTCTGATAATGGACTCTAATGATTTGGAAAGGTAAACTGGCAGATATCATTAACAATTACATACAACTTAGTTTATGACTAAATTTGTATAACAATGTCTGGCACTACTATTATGGTACTGTACTGATGTGGATATATAACTTGCACACCAGAGCTAACTTGTGTTCTACCAACTCAGAGCACAGGCACTTAAAAGCTACTTGAATGTAAAAGCTACCTATACCTAACTTAAATCTGACTGATACCTGATATGATTAACTTTGTTAGTATCTTAATGCTATCATTAACTTCTAAGCAGTGTACTTCAGCAATAGTTACACAACATTTAGGTAGCAAATAGATCTGCTGTTAGCAATTGTCTGCATAACTGTCTATATTTACTGTAATTTTGTGTTATGTGGGATATCAAACAATAAGTGCAGTTATCATGATCTTGAAAAACTCTGGCAATACAATTTATTTTTCACTACAATTCAAACAGCATCAAAACATAAAGTACACAAAATTCAGAAACATTTTCTTGTAATTATGCTGTTAAGTGTAAAAAAAAAATAAAAAAAAAATTGCAAATGTTGAATGTTTTCCAAAATGCGTCTGTGATGCCTCACTTAAAACAGTGCATTTGAAAATGTTAGAACTATAATCAACTCATCATTTCAAAGCTTAAGCAAAACCAATTGTAATTGCTAAACAAATATGTAGTGTATTTGATTGCGTAGGCAATGTATAGATTAGAAATATATGCTTTGTTGTTACTCATCTTGGATTTGTGTTGTCAGCTGCAAGACATTTCATTGCCAGGCTTTCATTCAAATTGCTATTCTTTGAATTACATCTGTTTGTTTTAGCAGGACTCTTTCAGCTTGAAACTGTTTAGAACTTTTAATAGTATTAAATGCAATGATTAATGTTGAGAGAGTAGCTTTTACATTTTTTGATTAATAGTTAGTTATCCTTGTTCATTACAAGTGCACTTGTTTTTTTGACTTGTACAGCAGGGATAGGGCAATGGTGCTTTTGCCCAAGTCAGCTGTTGAGGTGTTAGTCCAAAAAAAAGGTGTTTCTAATGTGATAAATATATAATCAGAGCAAAGACAGGATTTAGATATCTGTTGTGATGGACTACTGTCTCAGTTCAATAAATGAATTCCCTGTTCTGATGATGTCTGTAATCTGCCCATAGCAGTACTCATGGTTTACTGCTGTTAACCCTAGAAGAGCTCCATATGATGGAGATCTGATAACTTCCTTTCAGGCAAGAATGCAGTTAAAATGCATGAAATAGATGTTTTCATAGAGATCCAAAAAATGCAGGTCATTTTGTATATGTTATGTTTCTACCTGACACCTGCAGTCTAGTTTTGATGCCAGAAGGAGAGTTTATTTAGTGATTTGTTTCCTTCCTTCTGAAAACAGTAACTAAAACATTCTTTGCGTTTTACTTATTTAACCTATCTAAAGCTCTGCTTTAATTGTTAAAAATATTATTCAACAGTTCTCCCTGATAATATCCATAGGAAAAGGTGAATGTAAAAAAGATGTTTATTTGCTTAAACATCTGTGATGCTTATAGGACTGTATATGATAGAATCATAGAATCATAGAATGGTTTGGATTGGAAGGGACCTTAAAGATCATCTAGTTCCAATCCCCCTGCCGTCAGCAGGGACACCTTCCACTAGATCAGGTTGCTCAAAGCCTCATCCAGCCTGGCCTTGAACACTTCCAGGGAGGGGGCATCCACAGCTTCTCTGGGCAACCTGTTCCAGTGTCTGACCACCCTCACAGTGAAAAACTTCTTCCTAATATCTAATCTAAACCTCCCCTCTTTCAGTTTAAACCCATTTTCCCTTGTTTTGTCATTAATTGCCCTTATGAAAAGTCCCTCCCCAGCTTTCTTGTAGACCCCCTTCAGGTATTGGAAGGCCACTATAAGACTCCCCGGAGTCTTCTCTTTTTCAGGCTGAACAGCCCCAACTCTCTCAACCTGTCCTCATAGGAGAGGTGCTCCAGCCCTTGGATCATCCTGGTGGCCCTTCTCTGGACTTGTTCTAACTGGTCCATATCTTTCTTATGTTGGGAGAAAGCAATAGAGGTGAAACATCATCTGAATTATTTGCTGTTATTTGCTGTTATTTCATAGTCAAAACAAAAATGAGTTTTCATTTCCTGCTTTGTTGGCAGCCTGCTGCAGAACAGGTCATATGCTCTGGCTTTGTTTCTTCTAAGCCCCTGACACTTCTGTCTGTGGCAGAAGTTAGGTACTAATTCGTCCCTGGTTACAGCTCCTCCATTAACTACCCTAGTCACATAATTTCCCACCTGGAATTATGCAGATGATAACCTGCAGTGCCCCGTTTGTACTGTTTTTTCTGGGGAAAAAAAACATACTGAAACTGTTACTTGTCCACTTCCCCATGCTTCACAGCCAAGGTGGTAATGCCTAAAATTACACCAGCATAATAACATGCTTACATTATTCCAAAAATGGAGCAGAGAATGAAAGCCAACCCATAGTTTTATTCAGGCTTTTTCTTTTTTTTTTTAATAAAGGTTTTGAGAGTTCATAA